AAAAAAAAAAAAAAAAAAAAAAAACTTAAAAAAACTTAAAAAAACTTAAAAAAAACCCCACAAAAAACCTAAGGCACTTCACTTAGAGACTGGAGTCCTGCTTATAATCATGCGTATAACCTTTACTTCAATGGGTCTGGCCAGAGGGGTGTTGGAGCCCAGCCCACCCACGTACCAGACAAGCTCTTAGGGGAGAAGAAAAGCAGGAAGAATTTAAATGTTTAATTTTTTTTAATTGACTTTTCTAGTTATTAAAAGTTGCTTGTTTCAGCAGTGATATTGTATAAAGAACATCTTGTAAGATATTTCTGTCATCTTGCTTTGGCACATGTACAGTACAGTTTATATGATAACGTGTTCGCTTTACTTTGCCCCGTCTCCTCCCTCAGCCCATCCTCTCTCCTTCAGAGAAGCCGGGCTGGAGGGTCATCGGGGCAGGTGGTGGGACCTGGGGGGGAAGGGCTGTCCCTCTGCCTGCCCCGACCGCCGATTCTGCCGCCTCCATCTACAGCCGCCACCTCCCGCCTCCCCCCACCGTGTCCCCACGAAGCTGAATCTTGCCGGTCCGCCAGCTGCGCGTGGGGTGGGAGTGGGGGTGTGTGGAGGAGCTCTGCCGGCCCTTCCGCAAGGAGTCTGGCGTTAGTGGCTCTGGTTGGGCAGGACTTCCTAGTCTTCTTTCCCTTTTATGGCAGATTTTGATAAAATGCAAAACAGGGTTTAATTTTCTTTTCTACCAGCTTTGAATTTAGCAAATGTGAGCACCTCAGCTCTTCTGTAACTATTTAAGTTAAGGGAAAACATGTCCACCAAGGGGATTGCAGCTCCTAGAACTGGAGAATAAAGCCTCTTAATACTGAATTTCAAGGTGTGTTCCCTGTCTCGCCCCGCCTACCCTGCCCAGAGACCGGGGGGGATTTGCTCCAGTGGCTGCTGGATAGGTTTACTGTCCCTTCTCCCACAGGTTCGGAGTTAGCACTGACGCTACAGTTCCGTGATCCCAGCCACCAACACCTCCCCCTGCCTCTTACCCTAGAGCCAGTCTGTTCTTGTTAACAGTGAGAATCCTGTGTTCCCACTTCAGTGACACCTGAATTGTTTGTTGTTTTTTTTTTTTTTTTTTTTTTTTTTTTTTTTAATTGTCTTTAAGGAGGAAGGGCCCCGTTCAAGGGTAAACTTGTAATAAATTGGAATTTCAAATAAACATTATGTACTTGTGTTTATAAAGAAGCAGCAGTTCTGGTGAATCTTTCTTTGTGTTTGTGGGGGCGGTAGTGGCACATGTGTCCCCCAGGGCTCTTTCCCGGAGCTGAGAGGACTTCTGACCATCTTTTTAACCACAGGCCACATCCATTTGCATTTCTTTGCTTCCTGGAGAGATTTCTGGTGCCCAGTAATCAGAGTGTGACTTTCAAGCTTCTGGCCTGGTCTCTGAAACCCCCAAAATTGTCATTGGAAATT